GATAAGCTGTTCTTTATGATTTGTATTGATTATTCATTTTAGTATATGCACAATAATGGGGTTGTTTAAACATAAAGCATATTAGAATCACAGATCAGGTCCAGAGGCTGCCAAAGAATCTGCTGAAGGAACAATATGAAAAAGGATTGGTTAAAGAGGCACAAAAAGGTTAAGACTGTAAGTGTTTGGGGTGAGGTGGAGACTTATTTGCTATTGGACATCCAAAGGAGGGTGGAGCTTGGTAGGTCAGCGGAAGTATATATTCTGAGATGCATGGCACCATGGACAAGTTGTGACCCACAATAAATGCTTAAGTGTCCCTCGCTCAGGCTAACAAGGTCTGATGAATTGGAAGCCGTTGACTAATGCCGGTGTAAACTAGGGAAAGGTTCATCCAGATCCAAAACACACTGTAGAAATAGGAAGAGATAGCTCGACTGCCACACACCTCGCTCTGCCCGAGTGGTTAGCAGGTAAAAGCAGCTTCAGCTTGATTCGTTCAAGCCATGCCCCAAACATGTTTCACCCCATCCCTATGGCTTAATCATGGATGTCCCCAACATTATTTAGCAGGGAGTCTTTGGGGGGTGAAGTGTTGCAGTATATAGTTGTGAGAATGGAGATCCCATAGCATGCTGATTTGTGAATCCAAACCTTTGAGCTGGAATGATATGACTTAGAGCTGGAACACCTGCTTTATATGTGGTGGAGTCACCAACTGCATTGTTGTTTATTTTTTTTTTTTTTATTGTGATTATTTATAGTGAATATTTTTGGTTAAGTATGTATGTGTATTTGTGTATTTATGTATTTGTATTGTAACAAAGTGATGATGTGATCATTTCAAGATTCATTCAAGCAGTAACATGTCGGCCTTAAGTAAAAATGGGAACATGTTAAAGGATAAGTGTACTCTGAATAATGTACATTTATCTTTTTGTTATGCTAACCTAACTCCCCTTCCTTCTCCACAAATGCATACTTACCTTCCAATTATGCCCACAACCTCCAGTGTTTGTTCAAAAACCTTTGCTGGTCCTTTGCACCTGTGCAGTGACTTCCCAAAGGATCAGCTGAGAATTCTAAACCAAGCTTAGAGGTAACTGTAGGCCTAATTCTAAGGTCAAAGTCTACTAGTCATGTGTTTGTGCTTTCTTAATAATAGAAAAGATGTTTGAAGCTAATCTTATCCTGAAAATTAAACTAGTGGAAATTTAGGGATATATGCATCCCCAGCTAGAGCCCAGGCAGCTAAAGGTGTCTCTTAGCACAGTTTGATATGGCTTCCAACTGGCTTCTGCTAGTTGGCGGAGGTGGAGAGGCTGGAGGATGATGTCATGATCTCCACCTCAGTCAATCAGAGGAAGCCTCCTACATATTCAGACAATACAAAGCTTCTGGTAAATGATTAAGCAGTGCTCAGCCCAGCTTGATTTATTTCCAGCAGAAGCAGGGCAAGAAGTCTTCATTCTGCTTCTGGAGCACAGCGCTTTATACTGTATGTAGCTGATGCTATATACAGTCCATGCAGCACACACAGCATTGCTAGGAAAGGACAAGCTTGATCAGAATTAACTGTTTTAAAGAGACAGAAAGCTGGAGTTTGGCTTGACATGTTTATGTACTCACTTTAACTGTGTGAAGATTTACAACTCTTTCAATAAATTAGCTTCAGTCTGTAATGTTATCCAATGATCACCTGTTTTCTTCCATAGATGCATCTCTTTGTACTTTTGGGCCCATAGGCTTTATTAACCAGTTCCACGCCGACCTATAGCAGAAATACTGCTACAGGGAGGCAGGGGTGCGCAAAATCATGTATATATACGTGATTTTGCAGTCCCAGGTAGATGGACCCGCCACCATTTGCAGCCTCTGCTGTCAATCACCGGGTCCCGGCCGGTGATTACTCGTTGGTACCCGGTGATCACTGAGTATCTCCGAGGGGGGAGATACCTGTATGTAAACAATACAGAACTCTCCCCTGTCAGCTCCTGTATACTGCTTTGTATGGCTCTGCATAGGCTACCCATACAAAGCAGTGTGCTTACAGTGAAGCACACACACAGCCTTATAGTGAATTAGCACACAGTTACCTTTTGATCGTCCCCAATGTTAACCCCTTCATACTCAGTGCCATTAGTACAGTGTCAGTGTTTTTATTAGTACTGATCACTTTATTGGTGTCACTGGGGATGTCAGTGACACAAAGTCAGTTCCCCCCAGTGTCAAAATGCCCGTTGCAGTCCCGCAGTCCTGATCACCGGAATTACTAGTAAAAAATAAATTAAAAATTCCAATATCTATACCGCCATTTGTAAATGCTGTAACTTTCACGTAAACCAATTAATTTACATGTATTGGGATATTGTTAGCAAAGACATGAAGCAGAATACATTTTGGTCTAAATTTATGACAACATTTTTTTTTTTTACTGGACATGTTTAATAGCAAATAGTTAAAAATATAGTTTTTTTCTCAAAATTGTTGGTCTTTTTTTATTTATAGCACAAAAAATAAAAAAAACACACAGGCAATCAAATACTACCAAAAGAAAGCTCTAAAGAAAGGATGTAAATTTCATTTGGGTGCAGCATTGCGTGACCACGCAATTGTCAGTTAAAGTAACACAGCGCCGTATTGCAAAAAATAGCCAGGTCAGGAAGGGGTGTAAATCCTCTGGAGGGCAAGTGGTTAAACTTGACGTGCTATCATGTAATTGACTACAGCCTAGGCCCAAAATGTGGGTGAATGTGAATGGAGCATCCACCTTTTCTTTGAGCAAACATTTAACATAATATTAGGTATTTTTTAAGTTATGCATGTATTCAATTCACATTTAACTACTTCAGCTCTCTCACAACAAGGATTTTTTTTTTTTGTAATTTCTGTCTTGCAAAACATTTTTTATTTCTTAAGCAATCTACAAGCAAAAAAAAGGTAACAAAATGGAAAAATACACTTTTCTATTTTGAACAGGTATAGTTTTAAAACAACTAGTTTTACTATAGATAAAAGTGGTGACTTTATTCTATAGTTTATCCCATTTACATTTTTTGGTACAAACACATTGTGAAGTTATTTTCAATTGAAATAAAGTGTGCCACTAAAAAAACTGAAACAGCAATTGAGCAAGATGAACAAAATAGAAAAAATTACATAGGTTTACAAGGTAAAAAACAAAAAATGAAAAGTGTTTACACCAGTACGCAACTACAAGCAGATGTTAAAAAACTGCAGGATTAAAAATACCAATGATTGATGTTATTTGCTTATTTAAAGAACATAAAATTGCATTTTAGTACCCAATGGACAGAAAAAATATCCTCTTGCAGATAAGGCAACTCACATATATTTTTATTTGTTTAATACTGTTTACTTAGCGTTTGCCTCATCTTTAAGGGATGAAAGGAAGCGAGAGGTAATTTACGACTGATTAGGATTAGCTAAGAGTTATGAAGGGGTTAAATAGGAAAATGTTTTTATTTGTGAAGTTGCTTTAGCTGATATGTGCAGATCAAAAGCAATCAACTTATGTAGACATCACAGAACTAATAAAAATACATTGAACCAGTATTATTGTTACAGTGGGCTGTATTCATCAATGATTCCTGCAAACACCTCTGCCTGAGCTCCTGGAACACATAGCCAGACCAGGCTGTCAAAAGGACAGATGGGTCTTGCTGATTATTAAGAAGAAACCCCATGGCAGGGGAGAATGATGACATACAAGCTATGCCCTAAGAATTTACATTTTCCTTTTTTAATGGGTAACTTGTACAGTCAAGGTCCTTCAACCAGTTGCAGCCTGGTGACAAAAAAATTTCACCATTGTACACAGGACATGTGTAGTACGTCCAGCCCTTCTGCTCTGCTTTCGGGACACCCCTGTCTCAGTACATGGCAATTCAGCTCTGTTTAATGACAGCTGCATTGCTCAGTACACAGAGAAGGTCCCAGCAACTGGAACAGTAAAAAAAAACGATCCGACAATGTTTATCAACAAGATTGCTCAAAAAACAGAAAGATAAAAAGAAATATTCTTTCATTTTGTATCGTTCTGTTTATTAATTTATTCATATTCATATTCAAAGGGATGATCTGTAGATGAAGTCAGTTAAAAGCAACCTGTCAAGTAAAAAAAGTGTGTTCCTGAAATGTTCCTCTGTTTAACTCCTTATTAACTCTTTATTTGGTCTAATTATTCCTATTTTTTCATCTCTTTCTCCATTTAATTATTTTCCTGCTGATTTTTTTTTGTTCATTTCTGTTTTATAAACTATTAATAATGAAAGCTTTTTTCTTTTTGTTTGCTTTGGTCATTAATATTTTTACACCTTTAACATATATTTACACATTTCACTTTAACCACTAGCCTACAGGGCACTTCTACCCCCTTCCTGCCCAGGCCAATTTCCAGCTTTCAGCGCTGTTGCACTTTGAATGACAATTGCGCGGTCATGCAACACTGTACCCATATTAAATTTTTATCAGTTTTTTTTGTGACAGATAGAGCTTTGTTTTTGGTGGTATTTAATCACCTCTGAGTTTTTTTTATTTTTTCTTAAACAAACCAAAAATCACTGAAAATTGTGAAAAAAAAATTTTCTTAGTTTTTGTTATAAAATGTTGTAAATAACTGATTTTTTTTCTCCTTCACTGATGTGCGCTAATGAGGCTGCAGTGATGGGCACTGGTAGGCTGCACTGATGGACACTGATAGGTGGCACTGATGAGGAGGTACTGGTAGGTGGCAATGATGGGCATTGACAGGCATCACTGATGGGCCCTGAAAGGCAGCACTCATATATGGCACTGATAGGCGGCACTGATAGGTGGCATTGATAGGCGGCACTGACTGGCACTGTTAGGTGGCACTGACTGGCTCTGTTAGGCGGCACTGATAGGCAGCACTGATGTGCACTGATAGGCAGCACTGATGCACACTGATAGGCGGCACTGACTGGCACTGATAGGCGGCACTGACTGGCACTGACTGGTGATAGGTGGCACTGATTGGCAGCACTGATAGGTGGCACTGACTGGCATTGATAGGTGGCACTGACTGGCACTGATGGGTGACACTGAAAGGCAGCTCAGATGGGCACTGATATGTGGCATTGATGTGCACTGGTAGGCACTGAAATGCGGCATTGATGTGGCACTGATGGTCACTGGCAGGTGGCATGGATGAGCACTGACAGCTGGCACTGATGGACACTGACAGGTGTCACTGCTGGGGCTACACAGATCATCAGGGCATACTAATCATCAGTGCCCTGATGATCAGTGTACATGTCCCCTCTGAGGGATGCTAATTACCGGCTCTACTCTCCTCACAAGCTGTCATATTGACAGCTCGTGAGGAGAGAAATGCCGATAACCGGCATTTCCCTATTTACATGCGATCAGCTGTGATTGGACACAGCTGATCACATGACCGAGCCGACATCTTCGCCTCTTTCCATTGTCCGAGGGACACAGCGCACTACCGATCGCCACGCTGCACGCTCCCGGAGCCGCGCATGCGTGGTTAGAATGGGAGGACGTCATATGACATCCTCCCAGAACGAGAGAACCGCCTTGCATCCGTCATTGTACTATATGGCGAACGAGAGGTGGCTAAAAAAAGCACAAAATGGAAAAAAAAAATGTACTTCATTTGTAAATAATGTTGCGATGCTTTGTACCAGAATCATAATTTTAGTGGCATTTTAAAAAGGACAAATTACAAATTATCTTAAGTAATAACAAAGTTATCACTGAATAAACAGGTCCATAGCAGAAATGTAAAAATGACTCTGGTCCATTGCGGCTTCACAGCCAGGTGCCCACTGCGCATGTGCGAGAAGTGCTGGGCCTTGTGAATGGTCCCAGAAGACTACAGGGAGGGAGGACAACGTCCGCTTCTGATCACCTTAGGTGATTGCAGCGGAAATTGAAGCGGGTACCTATCAAATTTGGGTACCTGCCCCCCCCCACACACACACACACAACACCATCCAAAAGATGCCAATCCTTAATGGGGAGCAGGGGACAAAGGCCTGAAGCGGAACTTCCCCTTTTGGGTGGAGCTCTCTGCTCTGTTCCTCCTCATAGGCTCAGAGACAGCAAACAATTGATCCAGCCATTACAAAATGTCACACATTACATCCTGATTATTGAAGGGTTCAAAGCAGGAGGTGGCACAGGCAGCACTACATTTTTCTACCCTTCTGAGAGGAATTTATAATTCTTGAAGTTGAACTCCAAGCAGATATTCAAGATATAAATGAAAGCAGCTCTGCATTCCATAATACATCCTTAATGTAATTTTTAAATGCAAGCAGTGTAAGTACTTGAATTTAGTTTGGTGTAAGCCACTTGCAGTCCCCATACAGAACAGTTCAGAATGAGGGAGAGAGTGTTACAGAACTGCAGCAATATACAATTAGGTCTCATCCTCTGCCAGACCTAAGAATAATCGGCCGATTTTTGCTCTATTAGTGGGGCAATGGCAAAGGCCGATTTTTGTGGTTCCTCCCCATTTTGTTTATTGGCATGCTGGAAAATGATTGATTTTCAAAATCATTGGTGGCACCATCGGATTAGAGAACGAACAATGTTTTCGATTTTCAATCGAAAAATCATTTGGAATTCGACCCATGTATGGCCTGCATAAGTATAAATAACCATGACTTCTATATATCTGTCCTCTGGAGAAACTTCCTGTATTTTGGAATTTCCTATCCCAATTTTATTATACCTGAACTAAGTAATATTGAATTAGCTTAATGTATTACAATCCAATCATTCTGTTATATTACAATCCAATCATACTTTATATTAAATGTAAAAACAGAAATAAAAAAAACAGCTAAAACTATTGCAGAATATACATTTATTCCATTGCTGGTTTTATAACAATGTATCTATCAGAAAATGACTATAATGGTTATGTAATATATGCACCAGCAAAGGTGTATTGTGTGCACCAGCAAATCACTTTCCACCTGGCTACTGCACATAAACAGCTCAGCGGACATTCTTGAATGTCTTGTCTGAACGTGCGCAGCCTCAGGGCTGCACAACGGCGCAATCCTGTGATAACTGTGTCCCTTGGGCACAGCACAGATCAAGACATGGGCATTTTAATTGGCCCTCCTGGTCACGTGATAGCATGGCGTTAAATCACAGCCATCACTCAGTGTAAACACATGACTCGTGTCTCTGTGTCAGAGCTTCCTGCTGAGCTCAGTGCAGGGGGGGGAGGGAGATGCTGTGACAGCTCTCTGTATAGCTGATGATTTTAGTGCTCAGCTATACAGAGATCACACAAATTGCAGCCATCCCCACACAGTCCACCAAGCACCATCTGTCCCTGACCAAGTGTCACATCAACATCTGTACGAGTGTCACATCAACATCTGTACCAGTGCACAAAATATCTGTCACTGTGTACTAGTGTCCAATAAACATCTGTCACAGTATACCAGTGTAACAGAAAACATGTGTCACAGTGTACCAGTACACAAAAACATCTGCAATAGGGTTCCATTGCAACATCAACATCTGTCGGAGCCCGCTGGTGGACAATCAACATCTGTCACAGTGTACAAGTGCACAAAAACACCAAAAAAAAGTCCACCAATAAATAAATAAAAAAATGAAAGCACCCCTGTCCCCCCATGCTTGTGTTCAACGGCGATCGCATATGTACACAGCAATCGCACTACACATGTGAGATATTGCCATGAACATCAGAGTGAGAGCAATAATTCTAGCACCGGACCTGCTCTGTAAATCTAAACTGGTAACCTGTAAAGGCTTATAAAGCTTTGCCTATGGAGATTTTTAAATACTGAAGATTGGCACCATTTCACAAGCGTGCACAATTTTAAACCATGTTTGGTATCTATTTACTCAGCCCAACACCATATTGTATAACAAAAATGGGTATTATATTGTGTTTGTGTGCATTAACATATAGTAAAATGTATTTTTGTGTTAGTTTGTACAATTGCGTTCGAAAAACCGTGGCGCAAATACCATGTGAAATAAAAATTTGCTAAATCAACCATTTAATTCTCTAGGGCTTCTGTTTGGGAGTTCTAAGTTCTAGAAAAATACTGATTTTTACTTGTAAACGAAAAATGTCAGAAGGCAGCCAGATCTTAAAGTGGATAACGCAAGAAGGTTCTCCTTGGATGTTGGGCCTCTCTTTGTGGCTAGGCTGTGAAAACATCTTACACATGTGGTATCACCATACTCAGGAGGAGTAGCGGAATGTGTTTTGGGGTGTAGTTGCAAGTATGCCTATGCCATGTGTGAGAAATAACTTGGTAATATGATATTTTGGTAGAAAAAAAAAACAATTTTATTTAATTTCTTCATTTTCCAAAGAATTCTGGAAAAAAAATTAAAAAAAACACCACGCCTCTTACTATGTAAATACCTCAGACTGTCAACTTTCCAAAAAGGGGTCATTTGGGAGGTATTTGTACTGTCCTGGCATGTTAGGGCCTCAAGAAATTAGATAGGCCGTCAGTAATCAGGGGTGATCAATTTTCAATGATTGGTACCATACTTTGTACAACATTCATACAGACCAAATAATATACACTGATTTGGGCTACTTTTATCAGAGAAATGTAGCAGTATAAATTTTAATTAAAATTTATGATCAAAAATTGCTTATTTTCAAAATTGTAACAGATTCCTGGCCAGGTAAGTAAATGGCTAGGTGATGTCCATGGTTAGTAAGAGTGAAGCGACTGCCAGCAGCCACTGTTTCCTTAATAACCATTGACAGCAGTGCCCAAATATGGCTGTGTGGCCATATTTAGACGATGATGTAACCCAATCCCTTCCCCACCCATTTTCTTAGGTGGCCGTTGCTTCCAGCCATGTAAATGAATAGGCCAGGTAACCTCAGTGGCTGGTAAAGACACAGTGGCTGCAAGCGGAAAGCAAACAAGCCCAGTTCTGTGAGGCCACATATTTGTGTGACATTGGTGCCAAGGGGTTAACAACCCAGTCCCTTCCCCACCCATTTTCTTACGTGGCCATGGCTTCCAGCCATGTAAATGACAGTGGCTGCAAGCGGAAAGTAAACGCTGCTTCCTTAGTTCCTTAGTAACCATTGATATAGCCAAAAGCTGTCATGTTCGAACAACCTATATGTTCAGGGTTTAGATGAATATCTGAACAGCCAGTGTTAGGCCCAAACTTACATTTGGACTGGACACTGAACTCATTTCTAGTTACAAGCATATAGTCAGGGCTTAAAATTTCAAGTCCTGAGCTACTAGCCAGGCCTTAAGAGTTACTCGCCACCAGTTGCCCCACCCAACCCCTACCCTGCCACACCCCTAATTCTACCCCTAAACACGCCCTCGTAAATTATTTCATGAAATGACACTGTTAAATGTTACCCACATTACATCAGGGTCCCCAGAGTACCCCCACATTACATCAGAGCCTCCAATGCCCCCCTAAACACTCCATCATACTTAGACCATGCACCACATACAACCATAACCCCCCCATAATCTTTCACTCACAAAACCATAATTCTACCAAGCATATCCTACCTACTATCCAACCCAGCAGTACCTCAAATGCCCCATACTCTACCACCCATAATAACCTCATAATCCTGAACCTGACCAAACCACCCATACATGTAGTTTTACATACAGACACATGTACATAGACACACACACACATACAAACAGAGACACCTGTACACATACACCGACATGTACATACATACACACACACAAACATGTACACACACGCACAGAGACACATGTACATACAGACACATGTATACACACACAGACACATGTACAGACACACATACATGTACATACACACAGACAAATGTACATACACACAGACACATGTACATACATACAGAGACACATACACAGACACATGTACATACAGACACATGTATGTACATACACACACGTACATGCACACACACATGTACACACACACATGTACATACACACAAACACATGTACAGATACACACATGTACAAATGCACACAGACACATGTACATGCATACACAGACACACACAAACACACACACAGATACATGTACATACACACATACAAATACACACACACACACATGTACACACACACACACATACAAATACACACACAAATATACACACATACAAAAACACACACACACATGTGCGCACACACACACACACAGCACTATAAAAAGTTGCAGTACTTCATTACGTTCACTCACAGAGCCCGGGTACTGCACACTAGGGGAGGCAGAGAGCACAGCACACACTCCTTCCTTTGCTTTCACTTTGCTCAACTATTCAGCAGTCTGAAGGCTCCCAGTGTGAGTGACAGTTCCGAGCCTGCTCAGCAAGATGGCCCTGGGGACACACTCGCCCCCACCATAATTTCCACTCGCCAATGCGAGCAGGCAAGTGGAAATTTCAAGGCCTGATATATTTATATATGAAGCATTAGAAGACTGAACAGCCATATGTTAGTTAGATAAGCATTGTTCTAAACATGTTATGTACAGTATATTCATTGTCCCAATAGTTAATGTTGGGAAGGTGTTTTGTCCAATGTCACAATGCCCTGTAACACATGTATAATTAAGTCCAGTCACCATCTCCCGTGGAGTACGTGTACTGTTCTAGCTAAACATAGTCTGTTTGATACACAACAAGAGTGGATTTACCTCGCCTGCAGTAAATAATTCCTGGAAACATTTTTCATATTTTGGATAGTGTGCGCTCTTTGGCAGGAATGTCAGAAATAAACAGTGAGATGTACTTTACTGAACTAGCTATCAGCAGAATGGTAAAATGAAATCTGTTCTGAACAGTGCTTGCCACTCAGCCTAGCAGCAGTTAGGGCTGAAGCTCTGCATTCAGGATAACGTCTCTCATTGACATTTAGACAATAGTAACTCTGGCCGGAAGTCCATCTGATTAATGTCTCATTTGTGTTTAACAAAACAAGGCTAAGGGTCGGCCTGCCGCTGGCCCTATAAATATCCCGTTAATGGTGTTTTGCAAACAAGCTGTCCTTAAAACGCAGAGCTCATGCCTCTCACTGAGGATATTAAAATGCAAATAGATGCAGGCACGTGTCCTTCGGAGAAGCCGTCTACATTTAACCTGCGACCTCTTTGCCTTTAACCAGAGATTCTGCTCATTTGTACAGCTCCTGAATTTTCCCTGGCCTGTGGTGTAACCTGGAAGAAACAGCATTAAGTGGAAAGAGGCGAGGCCCAATTTTCTATGCTCAATTAATCAAGAGAATGAGTTTGAACAAGGATCTAACAGACACCTTCTAGAAGGCTTAAGCTTTCCCCCCAACCATTAATAGTTAACATTGATTTGAAAAGGTGGGTGTGAGCATTTATTTGCCTGTACAAAGAAAGCACAGATGAGAATAGACAATATGAATTAGAGCATATCTATGGCCAAAATGTAGAATATTATATTTACAGTATTTCTACTTGGTATTTCAATTATTTCTAGCCTACGTCTATTAATCTGAACTGTCTTAACGTTTGTATGCTTACTTTGTGAAGATCCCCACACATTTACTTCCTTGAACAGTGTGATATGTATTCACTGTGCCCTGTGCGTAGGCACTGCTGTGTCACACATTTCACAGAGCCTGCCTGCTGAACTAGGGGGAGGGGTTTCAGGAGGCGGAGTCAGTATGGGAATCACCGCTTGCAGACAGCAAGATACCATGGGATATGCAGTCCTTAGCGCTCATATACACTGCAGCTGATAAACTCACGTTTAGGAGCTGTTCAGCGTTTTTTTTCAGCAGCCCCTGAACTCACCCTAATGTTTTCCTATGTGTCCATATACACATCTTCGTTTACAGTTGTTTACAGGCAGTTGAGTTTACAGTCTTTTTTTGAACACAACAAACTTGCGTTCAGTCGTCGATTTTATCAGCGTTTCAAATGTAAACATGGCTAAACGCGTCTAAATGCAGCAAATCGCATTTATAAGCATTTGTCATTTTTTTTTTAACTCTTCCAGTTCCCAATGCTGTCCAGAGCCTTTTTTCATCATGAAAAATGCATGCAAAGAGTTTTCAAGGTGCTCAGATGGACAAAACACTTAACACAGGATGTTCCTACCAAGCTTGTCACACATTGCAATGACCAATTCACACCTCAGACCTCTCCCACCCTTGGAAACAAAAGATATGTTAATGACCATTCACACCTCAAATTCCTCATGAAGACTCCCTGCCAGGTGACCTTAATGACTCACTCCAGCAGAAACCTTCCCACCCTCGGAAACAAAAGAATTGTTAATGAGCAACTCACACCTAATTATCTCAACACATACTGCTGTCTCTGCTTCTACTCTCTGTATTTCTCTGAAACAGTCTGAAATAGTTAATAATTTACCACTTTTCAGTGCATTCTGAGCGTTTGGGTTCTCCTGTGCTTATCTTTAAAAAACGCTTCCAAGCGCGCATCAATGCGTTATGCAAACGCGGCTAAATAGACATTTTGTAACCTACATTTTCCAGCAGTCAGTTTCCATCATTCAGAAACATAATATATTAATTCCATGTACATGGGGCCATAGTAACTGAAACTAAACAGCAGAGGAGAAGCTGCAAAGTATGCAGGGAATCCAGTAAGTTGTATAAAGAGATGTCCAGCAGACAGGAATCACTCACAACATGAAAGGAAAATTTTTAAAAAAGCTTATAGTGATCGTCAAAAATAACTCTTATTTGTATTTCTTTTACAATGCTGAAAATAAAAAATGAATTGTGTATTCTGTGATCTTTTAGTCCTCATGCACACTTGACGTTTTTACAGCTGCTGTTTTGGCTTTTGATGTTTTTTTCTACAGCCAGTAAACTCCCCAGCATGATATCCTATGTGTCCATGCACACATCGACTGTAATCAACGTTTTTTGGCTGGGATGCTTTTTGGCTGGAAAAAAGAACCGAGAACTAGTGGGTTTCGAGAGGCGTTTTTTAGCTGTAAAAACGCTCTAAACACTGAAAAACACGGTAAAATGTGGTAAAACCCGCTAAAAATGTGAATGCAGAAAAATGCAGGAAAACACCACTAAACATGGCAAAACGCCACTAAACACTAATGCAAAAAAAAACTAAAAAAAGCTGAAAAACTCACGTTTTTAACACTACCAGCATTATCAAAACGTCCCGTGTACATAAGGACTTATGGTTCCAAACCTGGTAGTTCATATTTTGATATCTGCCCTAGAGTGCCTAGGTGTTTGAATACACATAATGAAAGAGGACCCGCTCTTCCATTGGAACATCAGGCCATTCATTTCAACATCGATCTCTTCCAAAAGATTATATGTGCATTTAAAAAAAATTAGGCATGACATTTACCTATAAAATCTCCCTTGCACAGACATCCTAAATCCTTGAGCTTACTGCTGGGGCCATCATCTTGAATGTGATGTCAGCAGCTCCAGCTTCCTCAGTGCTGACACTCCAACTTTGCACCTCCCTGAGCAGCTGAATAAAAGTGCTTGTAAAGAACCTTCTGTGTGCAGCAGCCCTTCTAGCCTGCCCTATTACTTACCTAAGCCCCATTGTGATCCAGCAATGTGCACAAGAGCCTTGGCTGACCACGGACTCTGCCTCTTCATTGGCTGAGACAGCAACAGGAGCCATTGTTGTCAATTACAGCCAGCAAGCCAATGGGGAGAGAGAGGTGCCTCAGCTGAGCTGTGGCTCCTTGTTGAATGGACACACAGAGCAGAGGCTCGGGAGTGAGCCTGCAAGGGTGCCCCCATAGCAAGCAGCTTGCTATGGGCGCAATAGGCAAGAGAGAGGGGTCAGGAGCTCCGGTGGAGGACCCAAGAAAAGGAGGATCAGAGCTGTGCAAACCACTGCACAGAGCAGGTAAGTGTAACATGTTTGTTATTTTTTTTTAATTGCCTTCACTATCACTTTAAGAAGGGAGATACACCCAGAAAACAAAACAGCTATGATATACAAGGAGGAGCTGTGCTTGGGAATTGACTCTTCCTGGAGCAGTCAAATTTTCTAGCACATTCAAAGGCACATTGCAAATAAATAAAAAAAATTATTTAGGGAAAGGGAAAAAAAAAACTGTAAGTAAGCAAGATCTTTTCATATGAGAATCATCATTTCAGTCAAGAAAACTCATAAAATAAATATGTTGAAACAATGATTTTACAGTATGTGGACGAAAGTATAAGCAAAAAGCATGTTTCTTGCCTAAAAACAAAGTTAAACAGAATTAACGTAAAAGGTTAACATCTGTTTGCAATGGCTTATGGGACACAAACCTTTTGTTCTACAGATGTAAACAGATGTAAGCAGATGTAAACAGACGTGCATCCTCCTGCTTAAAAATATACATTGCAGTTCAGTTTGGATCCACCTGAAAAACTGACAGATGGATCCAGATTGAGCGCTCTTGTGTAAGAGCCCTTACAATGCATGTTTTTTTCTGTGCTTTTAGCTGCAATTTTTCAGCTGGTGACAGGTTATCTTTAATCTATTCTATATTATGGATAATGTCACAAAATTAGTAGAAACTCCCTGGTTTTAGATGGGAGAGTTAGTTTTAATGGTGGACAGAAATACAGCTGAGATTGGGCAAAAAAAGGGAGATCTTATTGCTGGAGTCAAACCAAAATAGTCTAACCTCAATCCAAAATATTCACATAGTGTCGACTGAACTTTTAAAAAACTCTCCATTTTTTTATGTCCTTACCTGTTGCTTAACCACTTCAAGTCCAGACACTTTTACCCCCTTCCTGTTCAGGCCAATTTTCAGCTTTCAGTGCTATCACACTTTGAATGACAATTGCACTGTTATGCAACACTGTACCCATATGAATTTTTTAGCATTTTTTTGAGACAGATACAACTTAATTTTGGTGGTATTTATTCACCACTGGGATTTTTTATTTTTTTTTGCTATATAAATGAAAAAGTCCAAAAATTTGGAAAAAAGTGTGTTTTTCTCATAAAATTTTGCAAATAAATAATCTTTCTTCATAAATCTTGGCCAACATATATTTAGCTATCTTTTTAGTAAAAAAAAAAAAAAAAAACCCAAATTAGTTTATAACCATAAATTCTAATTTTCCAAATTTGTTTTTACATTTTTATTTTATTTTTTTATATTATTATTTATGGATTTTTTTTGTTAACATACTGTCACCCTAGCAGTACAGTGTCACCATAGTAACACTGTACTACTTGTGGGGGATGATGAAGATTTCTTTTTTTCACACTGATTGCTTTTACACCCATAAAGGCTGTAAAAGCAATCATTTCTCCTTCTCTCTGGCTACATTCTTGCAGCCATTGAGAAATACTGTGAGAGCTGTGATTGA